TATATTGCCAAATTTATCAGAATTTTTATTTATAAATGGAATTGTGAAATATTTTTTCTTATTGAGTTCATTCAATTCATTATTGTTGTTGAAATTATTTTTATGTACATCTTTTCTAATAGATAATTTTTTGATTCGATTATTAATTGTGGAAAATATTATGTCTAACGGATAACTATTTAATATTAGAGTGTCTATCATGGATACTATGTTATTTTTATGGAATTCCGGATGCGAAAGAAAAAGAATCCTATCTAACTGGCCTATTATCACACCTCTCTTACGTTGAATTGGATGATTTGACATATAGTTAAAATATCTCCCTGAGTTTGTAGGTTTTTTGTATATGTCAAATTTGATGCGACCATTATTTGTAATTACTTTGACATCTAGGAAGTTTATGGAATTGTTCTCTTCATGCTCCACTGTAAACTTTAATCTATGATGATAAGAATTAAATTTGTCTTGTATTGTATCAATCTGATTGTCTGGAGCTGCCAATAAGATATCATCCATATAACGATAATAAATTGGTATGTTTATATTTATTGTGGAAAATACCTTTTTTCCAAATCTTGAATGACTAAATTCGCTAAAATTGGAGATAACGGAGATCCCATGGGCATGCCAAAGATTTGTTTAAAATATTTATTGTCAAATTTAAAGTACGTTGAGTTTACGATCAAGGCGATAGCATTTATAAATTCATTTATCGGAATGCTTGTATTTTTTGTTATGTTTGTCCATCTCCTTTCAATGCTGTTTATTAAAAGATCTGTTGGAATGTTTGTGTACATGGACACAATATCAAAAGAGATCAATTTGTAATTAGATTCTAATGTATGTCCATTTAAATTTTTAAGTAATTCGAAACTTTTTCAAGTCCCCAAATTTTTTTTTCATGCTTTTATTAATAATTGTTTTTAAGAAGGTTGCTAGTGGGTATTGAGGACTATTTATGCAACTGACTATCATTTTTAAGGGATTACCATTCTTGTGAATCTTCGGCAACCCATAGGATCTCAGTACCCGTGCCATCCGTTACATTTAATTTATTATAAGTGGACTGATCTATGTATCCCTTTTTCTTCCACCTAGTCAGCAAATTATGCGTTGGTTTCGTCATCATGTTTAAAGGATCTTTATTAATGTTAATATATGTTTTATTATCTGATAATATTTCAAGCATGTTTTTTTGGTATTCATTTAAATTCATTATTACAGTCGTATTCCCTTTATCAGCTTGTGTAATTAAGATATCCTGGTGTTCTGATATGAATTGTTCTAAACTAATTATTCCTTCTTTTATTAAATTGTTATCTACGTTATCTACTTGATTGTTGTACGTAATCTTCTTTAAGGTTTGAATTGAATCATTTTTTATATTATTTTTTGTGTTACAATCTAATTTACTAATATTATTTTCAATGTGTTTAATACATTCTACGATTATCTTTTCGTTATTCTTATTATTATTATTAGATATGTTAAATTTTTGTCCTAATTGCAATACAGATTTTACGTTATGTGGTATCTCTACATTACTAAGGTTAACTATCCAGTCATTGTTAATTTCATTTGATTTAAATTTATCATTAAAGTCTAGAGGACTAATATTCGTATGATTTGGATCATTTAAAAAGTATCCGCGATTTTTTGTTCAATATTTGAATGAAATTTTTCTTTATTGAAAATCAATTTTAATCAAGTATATATTGGCCATTATTATCTATAACCTTTTGCTATTTTTCGGGTAATTTCATAATTCCATCCGTGTAGAACTTCTGTGGTTTATCGGCGAAAAACTTTTTCAAGTGATTTTCGACACCTCTTTTGTCGGCCAATGTTTTTCCATCAAGAGAGTTCTGCAGAGATCCAAACAAATGGTAGTCAGACGGTGCAAGGTCCGGGCTATACAGTGGATGCATCAAAACTTCCTAACCAAGCTCCCT